ATTGAGAAAGGCATGCAAAACAACCAAAAAATTGTTATGCAAGGCGAAGCAGATCAAGAGGTTTGTTTTGGTAGATTTTTTTCATATTCACCAGAACTAATGCAATTCCAGTAAACGCTTTTCGTCTTTAATTTCAATAGCCTGGTGTTGAGACAGGGGATGTGATTCTTGTTCTCAAGCAGAAACCTCATGATAAATTTGAACGCCAAGGTAATGATCTGCTTGCAGAAGTAAACATTACAATCACCGAAGCTTTGTGTGGCTTTTCGAAGGTTCTTGTCGTGCATCTGGATGGTCGTGGTTTGGTTATAAATCATCCTGCTGGTGAGGTGATAAAACCTGGAACCATCAAATGCATACCAAACGAAGGAATGCCACAGTACAAACGGCAAGATGACAAAGGCAATCTATACCTCAGGTTTAGCATAGAATTCCCGCCCTCCTTGTGGATCACTCCTGAAAGGTTGAAGGTAATTACGCGACAAACGGAAGCTTGATGCTTCTTTGTTATAACTAATTTCATCTTTGGAAACTATCCTCGACAGGATTTGGAAGCCTTCCTGCTACCCCGTGACCCCGAAAATTCGAGCGACCAACCAGAAATTTTGGATGAAGTTCAGCTAGCAGATGCTGACCTTAGTGAGGTAATATCAATTAAAATTATTGTTCACATCAGTCTTAATCCACATACCAACCATGTCATTGAACATCACTGCAGTACGGAGAAAAAAAGGGAAAAGAAGGAAATATATGGGATGAAGATGAAGAAGATGATGACGAGCAACCTGTGGGTTGTACCCCACAATAGTTTCAAAAAAAAAAAAAAAAAAGAAAAAAAAGACTCCCGAATCGATTGAATCGAGATTTTTTAATGCGCATCTTTTCACGTCAATTTCATTTTGAACTATATAGAACTTGGCATCCAATTTCTTCAAATAGGACTTTATGCATTTAGATAAGTCTTCAAATATGGTGCATGATTGGTGGTGATCACGTTGTAGTGCTAATTAAATTTGTAACATACTACGTGTTTGTGAAACCATATTCGCGTGCACGTATTTTTTGGGTTACGTGTTTCGTGGGGTTCGATGTAGATCCTGATTCAACACGTACCTATATATAAACCATGAAAAAAAAAACGCGAATAGATTTTTTTATTTGCAAACCTTTCTCTTGTTTGAGTGAAATCGTATTTTTTAAATAATGATGATTAGGGACCATAAAAAATCTCGCGCAACTCTTAATAATA